TGTGTATAGTGAAGGTAAAACCTTTCATTTTATTTTTTTTCTTCCCATGTGTTGGTGGCTTTTCTCCTCTATTGGAAGGCAAAAAAATGTCTCAGTGCATCAGCCTTTTTTTGTTTAGATCGTCACCTACTACTCCATCTTAATGATGCTCACTGAAGTTCACCAACAAAACACCTTGCAACATTTGTTCTCTCACAATCTGCAAATTGAGAATAGCAGCTGAGCTTTTGTTGGGCACTTTTACCATTCTGGAGAGGCAAAAATAGTTTCTACAAGCATTGGAATTAAAGCATTCCTAACACTAATCCAGTGTTTCTAGCAGTCTAATAAACAACTCTTATTAAAATTATAGGCAATACTGGAAAATATTTCATTATAGGAAAAGAGGTTCTTGGGGCAGTTTCTTCTTCTGCCCCCTGAGAGTATTATTATTTTAAAATGCTCATCAATTGTAGCCTGATTTAATCTGAATGAATGGTCTTGGTATGAAAGTTACTGTGAATGGCCCTGTCCCTTTCTTGTCTGAGAAGTGTTTATTGCTTTGATAGTAGGAAATGAAATCATATGCAGTGGGCTAGTAAAGTGCTGTAGATGTCACTGCATGCTGAAATGTAAAGATATGAAAATATATTTGGTGGCAAAGTGGCAAAGTTTGGGGGTGGCTCCTGTGAGAAGCCACCAGAGGCTTCCCCTGTGCCTGACGGAGCCAGAGCAGAACCAAAGCCAGCCGGCCATGGCTGAGCCCATCAGCAGCAGTGGTGGCTCCTCTGAGCTAACACTCTTAAGAAGGGAGAAAATTCACAGATCAAGAGAAATCTGCAGCTGGGGACAGAATATGTGAGTGAGAGAGCTCTGCGGACACCAAGGCCAATGGAGAAGGAGGGGGAGAAGGTGCTGTAGGTGTAGACATTCCCTTGGTGGCTGTGGCGAGGACCACGGTGAGGCAGCTGTGCCCCTGCAGCCCATGGAGGGCCATGGAGGAGCTGAGATCCACCTGCAGCCCATGGAGGTCCATGGAAGAGCTGAGATCCACGTGAAGGCCATGGAGGAGCTGAGAGCCACCTGCAGCCCATGGAGGGCCATGGAAGAGCTGAGATCCACCTGCAGCCCATGGAGGTCCATGGAAGAGCTGAGATCCACCTGCAGCCCGTGGAGGAGCTGAGATCCACGTGAAGGCCATGGAGGAGCAGAGATGCACCTGCAGCCCAAGAGACTCCTCACTGGAGCAAGGGAAGCTGTGACCCCATGGAAAGGCCACGCTGGAGCAGACTCCTGGCAGAACTCCATGTGGACCCATGGAGAAACAGGATCCCACACTGGAGGAGGTTTGCTGGCAGGATTTTTTAGTGGAGGACTGTCTCTGTGGGAGTGACTCCTCATGAGAGCAGGAGAAGTCTGTGAGGGGTCGTTTCTTAGGGGAGGAAGAAGCAACATCGGATGGACTGACCACTGCTCTGTGAAAATGAGCTTGAGAAAAAGGGAGGTGTGACAAGTTGTTTCAAGATCTGGCTTTAATTCTCGTTCTCCTACTCTGATTTCATTGGTAATAACTTAATTTTTTTCCTCAAATTGAGGAAGTTGACAGCAATTGATGAGTGGTCTCTCCCTGTCCTTATCTCTACCCTTGAGCCTTTTGTTATATTTTCTTTCCCCTGTCCAGCTGATGAGAGCAATGACAGAGCAGCTTTGGTGGGCAACCAACCAGGGCCAACCCACCACAAACAGATACCAGAACAGATGTGATGATGTCTGTGAGCATTCAAAGGGATGCCTGTGGATTATTGTCATTAATTATTCCTACGGCTTAACAAGAAAACAGCAATAATGACAAACCTTAAATGTCATCAGGAGAGAGAAACCCCTTATTTTAAGAATAATCAAATTTGTCCTTTTCTGATTTGTAATGTTTAAAATTTGTAATTTTAAATTCATTGTCAAGTTGAGGGTTCAGCCACTGACTCTGATTTTATACAGATGATCAATGAAGGGAGGACTCGAGTAGAAAAGAACTAAAACTGACTTGCTTTCAGAAATAAAGTAGAAGAACATAGCAACTTCATAGCAAAAATCTTCCATGTGCTCGAAATATTAAGCACCGCCATAAGGTAGCCTAGGTTTTTCATGGCTGTTTAGAAACAGCTATAGCAAAATGGATCCCAAACTTAGATATTTTTTTTTGACTCCTCAAAATAAGAAGCTATTTGCTAAGTTTTGAGCTCTATAATATAAAGCCAACTCAGTCATCATAGGAGTAATTACACAATAGAAGAGGCTGCCAAGGGCTGTTTCCTAACCAGTATCACTGGAATATGCAAGACTCAACAAGATACTTATCTGTCAGGGATGCTGTAGGATTAGTGAAATTATGCTGGATTGGAGGCTTGGATTTAGGTACTCCTTGAAATCCTATTGACAGAAATCTTTCCTAACCCAAATGATTCTAGGAATACATTGTAAGAGCTGCTATGTAGGGGGATTAACTTTAAAAAGAAAATGTACATATTTTTCAAAATATTCTTAATATTTTTATCTTTTATTCTTTCTTGCAAAAGAGGTTAATTTCTGAAAACATGGATTTATCTTGTATAGTGTCTGATATTAAAAGTAAAAAAGAGCAGAATTAAATAATCATATCTGTGTACACACTTTTACTGTGGTAGACCTTTCATAATGAGCATAGCTGTTTTCATGTGGCAGCAACTACCCAGAACCACTTTTCCTTGAGAAGAATAGGTGACCTGGAACCCCTTTTTGCACCAAAACAGAATAGTGCACCTTCTCATGAAGGTTGACTGGGCATTATTATTTGCAAAATTATGTGAAACATAATTTTCACAAACACTTCTGTCCCAGAAAAAAAATCCTTTAGATGGGATGTTCCATGCTGTATTGGACTCCCTGTGTTCTAAGGGTTTTTCCTGTCACAGCCATGGTTAACATCCTTATGGGTCTGGTTGCTCCTTCTGGGAATGGATGTGTGACCGTCCTTTACGGAGGACATTGGGCTCCTTGGGGCAGTGCATTACATTAACCCAGCAGAGAACCTGGTCCAAGGAACATTTAGCGTCTGGGACAGCAAGATAAACTCCCCAACCTAGTAAACTGGTGAAATTTTGAGTCTTAAAATCATTCTAGAGTCATAGAATACTTTATTATTATTGGCATTAATCTAGTACAAACCCCTGCTGAAAGCAGGGTGAATATCACAGTTACCCCTTGTAGTGAAGAATGAAAGAACACCAGAGTAGTTCATAGCTGATATGGCAGAGGAAACTTATGACCAATCCACAATCCTCAGTGAGTCCTAAAAAGGCAAAATGATTTTTGTGCATGCTGAAGGGATGAATGCTCCTCAAATGTACTGAACACTGCTCATGTTATCCATTTTTATTGGGCTCACATATACTAATAATTCTTAATTTTTCCACTTCTATCTGGACATGATTGCTTCTGTTTATAATATTGTATTTTCCTTACCTTTTCAATTTTTTTAAAATCAGGTTTTGCCTGACTTTCTTTGTTTATAATCTATTGATAGATCATCTCTAACAGTACTTCCAGTCCTATCTTTTGTCAGAGGTCCTGTATAGATTTTGAAAGTGTCAATGAACTTCCTCCCATGACCACATGCTCTTTCTCATTCTTGAATGAGTTGTCCATATGAGTTTTGGAGTGGGCTGTCAAATAGAGGTTGAATTATTTGTGGAGGAACTGCTCTTTCTGATGAAGGAAGATATTCCATGGAAGATAGTTTAACTTTGAAATTCTCTAGTTTAAGTGATTAAACTTACTAATTCATATTTTTTTCCTGTTCTAAATTAACTAGACTTTTATAAGATTGATATGACCACAATTTATTTTACATAACTTTATAAATTTTGCCAAAGCATACCAGGTGAGAGTGTAGGTAACTCCTAATGACAGATGAGCACCTGCACAGGGTGAGTCAGCAGACCAAGGCTGATATTGGCAATACACGATTTCTCTGTTACAAACCATCTCTAAGTCACCCTGACCTGGGAAAACATCTTGTCTGAGGGCTTGACTATACATTGAGCTAGTCAAGAACAGCCATTCCAGAATCCTTTCTGAATAATTGTGTGTGCCTGTATATTTATTCCAGTTGTATCTCCCTGTACTCTTGGTTATTCCTAGTTGATTGTAATAGACATTGAAATTTTATATGCTGTTTCCATCCCAGTTGAAGCATAAATAGGCTCTAAGGAAGTCAATAATGTTAATTTAAGCTTTTCCTGAAGTTACATTGTTTGTAATGTAGGAAAAGGCTTTAGGAAAAATGCTGTAACTTGGGTTAGTCACAGCTAATTCCAGCACTAGACTGAGGTATTGCTGATAAGGATATTCTCTTTACTCCTCCCTCTGCAATTAGACACCTGTGGATCAGGATTACACAAAAACCATCTAGCATGTCTAATGTATGTCTGTGACTCTCTGTGATAGCAGAAGGCTCCTGAGATGAGAGGCTGCTGGGGGGTGAATTAGGACCAGGGTCACCAAGACCTCTACCAGCACAGAGGGTGATATTCAGACTTGTGTTCTCATTGATATATTTTTGTAGCCTCCAGGACACCACAAAATTACCCAGATCTTCTGGAAAAATATTATTGTGTAGTTTGAATATCACCAAAGCCCTTATTTCTGCCCTGCTTTCAATTTTATTGTAGTGTGGACTCCAAAATTCCAGGAATTTTCAGCTCCACCTAAACTTTTTCCAAGTATGTGGTATCTCAAATGGGACAAGTGAGTGTGTGTAAGGAGAATGAAGGTACATGTGAAGTAAAGTTCTTACAGATAAAGAAATGCAGGACCTAAGACAAACAGTCTAGAGGAAACCAAAAGAGTTGATTCATGAGAGTAAAGAAGCAAAAGACAAAGGCAGTGCCCTGAAGTTGGCAGCAGTTTTACACAGATATGCTGAATAGTGAGTTGTGGCATCTCAGTAAACTCATGAAACTTTTGTTTCTGCTGTAGGTGGGATAGAAGTTGAGGCAAGGATGTCTTGATTGCATACCTAAATCTGATAGAATGTACAAGCTGAAGACCTCATTCAAACACAATGGTCTAACTTGGTGTGAAGAGTGAGTGACTGTCACCCAGGGACTGCATGGTGCAAGGTACCAGTGAACTGCATCTTCTGGGGAAATCTGTTGTCTTTTGTAAAAAATAGGTTTTTTTCTCTGTGAGGATATACATCAAAGTAATAGATTTCAAAGACAATCCCTGTGCAAGCTCCCCATCTCCCCATTAAATAGGGACATGGCTTTCAGCAGCACAACCAATACAGTTAAAAACAGGTTATAAATGACTTACTCCTTGACTGCCAAAGATGAAAATACACAGCAAGCATCTTCATTACAAAAACTATGGATCTTATCTAAATTCCCTATTGACCTTCTACAACCAGCCCAGAAGGTGATAGCCATTAATTTTACTCATAAAGGGAGGAGATGGGTGTGAACCAGAAGGAAAGTGAACTTTCTTAGAATGTTTCCTACATTTATAAGAACCATTTGTTAAGTAATTTCAGACAGGCACATTTGCAGCTGATGCAGCTGACTGTGGTTAATTTACAGAAAGTAAATTATTAAATTAGTCAAGTAAATTCATCAGGTTAAATTTACCCACTTTCCTGTTGCATCAGACTTTATCACTTACCCATGTGACATTTACTTTGCTTACCTAGAACCAATAATGTCACACATTTCTGGTAAAATCTTGAAATTAGTGGTGAAACTCCTCTAGATGTCCATGAGGATTTCTCTCTTACAAAAGAGCCTTTCAGAAAAAAGCGAAATATGTTTAAATTTTTGTTTAAATTTCTGTTTTGTGTTAGATGCAGTAAAAACTGTTTAGTTTTTACTATTTATTATTTATTTTTACTATTATTATGCTATAGATATATTTACTATACCTATTTAGATCATGTTCTTCTTTACCATGTTTTCCTCTTATTTTACCTGTATTTAATTAAGAAGCTACCATTTCTGCTTGCATTATTCTACATTCTGGAACTTAAAATTCCCATATCACCTTGAGTATCCCACATAACCTTGAGTATATTTCTATCAAAATATAAATATTTTTTCTAATTTTAACCATTTCCTAATCTCTGATGCTGATGACAATAGATGAGTTTAATCTTTTAATTCTTTCTGTAAATTGTTAATCAAACTATGAAGAATACCTATCTGATCTAAATCCCATGCAAACAATTCTTGCCATATTATGATGAATGGATACTTTAAATTCTCATTTTCTTATTTTTGTCTATAAACCTATTACATAGTCTTATGATTTTCTTTATCCAGTCTCAAAATTTTCCTTAGGATGGCTACCATTTAGTACCATCTGCACTAATCCATCATGTGAAAAATTGTCAAAGGCTTTCTGAGAGTCAAGATTGCAGCTGCTGCTATAGTTCTTCATGTCAATGGTTATTTCCCCTAGAATCTTGAGGTTAACAAGATATTTTGATGCAATTTGGTTCATAAATCCAGTCTGATCTGGTTTTATATATTTTTTTTGCAATCAATACAGCTTTTATATATTTAACACTTCTGCTACTGGCTTTTAAAATAATTTTAACTGGTCCTGAGGTCAAGTTAATGGCACTGGAATTGAAGAGTTCACCTATTTGAGATCATAGAATATCCTGAGTTAGAGAGAGTGCAGGAGGATCTTTGAAGTCCAGCTCCCAGCACAGGACAAATCTCTGTGTGCTCTGGAGAACATTGGTTTTGCCATTGTTTAGCTTTAGAATACAGGTATATTCACATTCTGTGAACCACTATGCTTGGTAACACATTATCTTGGACCAAAGTTAGATTAAATACAATTTGGTTTTCTGTTTAAATAATTTTTTTAGGTTTTAAGTGTTTTTTTAGCCTCATATGTTCTTGCAGGGTTTATTAATGTGTATTGTAAAATACACATTATCAAAATCTATATATTATAGATTAATATCTATATATTAAATATCTATATATTAATATCTATAATATATAGATTAAAATCTCTATATTATAGATATTAAAATACACATTATAAAAATCTGTAAGACCTACATAAAGAAAGGGAAAAATGCCAGTAGAAAGCAGTAACAATTGCTTAGAACTGGAGAGCAAGAGGAAATCACAAAGGCTTTACAGCTGAGAACTGGAGTGCTAGATACAGTAAATGCAGATGATAAAATACAATGGTAGACAATAGTAAGGGTAACTCTTATTGCTGTGTTTGTATGGATGCTTTTTCTTTCTCAAAAATTTTAGATGGATGGGCACCCTTTTTTTTTGGTAAATTTTCCATAATCCAGCCATTCAACAGCCTCAGGAGTCAAGACATCTGCCTTGGAGATGTTCTCATGTTTTGATGAACCTTAGAGCATCATAGGGTTTTGACACAATGTTGAAATGAAATCTTTGATGCTTGGCAGCTGTTGGCTGCAAGGAATGCTCTTTTTATTTTGCCCTTTTAGTGTGATGTTTACTCCGCATTACAGGAATGTGCATCATTTTGAAGAACAGTTTTAATTCCCTTTATCCAGAAAGCTTTCTGTAAAAGTGATAAATTCATAAGAGTGTCCTTTTGGTGAAGAATGCTGGCAATTTTAACAGCTGTAAACGTGTATGTAAAAGCAGAGCCTTGGGATAAAAGGCTGTGTGAAGCTTTGCACATGGTAACAGAGAGATGCCATCAGATGAAATGCTGGAACTGACAAAATCATCTTGGTATCCCTGAGCAGGGCTCACTGTTAACCAGAGAGGAGCTGCACTAGGGAGGCTGTCAGCTTCACAGAAACAAAAGATGTCCCACAGAAGGAGCTGCAAACGCTGTTACAATGCTGCTAATGCAGGCTGGAAAGCCAGATGGGATGGCTCCTGCAGGGCAGGAGGGCTCCCATGGCTGCAGAATTCCTGTGGCCATGGGGGCCTGAAGGGAGGAGGATGGTCCTGAAGTGTAGGAGTGGGCAACTGCTGTTGGCAGCAACAGCTGCCTTCTCCGATCTGCAGTGATCCCTGATCCAGGTATGACTGATAGCTCACACTGCTGATATGACAGCCCTTAGGGCAATTTCTGTGCAGCATTTTATTTTGTGTTTATTAAAGGTGGCATCTTTCCAGCTGCTCTTCACCAGCAGTAATCATTTTTCACTCATTCTAAATGGGAAGAATGGTGACCCCTGTCTTTATGCAGCAATGGTAGAAACAATAAGAAGCCAATGCCCAAGACTGTGGAAAAGCCAAAACTGAACTAAAACCAATGGGAAAAGAAATTCAGAGGGAATGCTTTCCAGGGAATGCTTTCAACTGCTTTGAAGGTGTCCTTGTATGAGGGACATCAGTAAACAAAAAGGTAAAAGAATTAAGAGAAGTAAACAAGGCAACAGGGACTGTGAAGGTGTTCACAGAGCTTAGGTCTACAGTGCTTAATGGAAGGGCAGATGTAGATTTCAAAGTAATTATATTCACCTTTGGTATTGATTTTCCCCCCTTTCTGTTCAATAAAACAGGATTTATGCATTCTTTCCTTTCCAAATAGAAGCAAGAGAGCAAGGCCACAATTACCTGACAAGGTGTAGGATTGAGTTCTTGGAAATCTGATCGATACATTTCTGTGCCAAAATGGGGACAAAGTTCATTTTAAAGGCTGTCTGCTGAGTTAAGTGTCTAAATGTCTAAATACTGAATTTTCCTGAAAATCTAGCCTCAAAAGTGGTAAGTTCTACTGATAACCAGTTTAACAATAAATGGGGCCAGTATTTTTAATCCAATCCTATGTACCAATACACTTCCAAAGGTGAAAGACTTGATATGAACTAAATAAAATATATGCTACTACGGTTGTTTACTTATGTTGTAACTTAGATTCACAACTGTATCTAATCAGTGTAAGTCTCATGTTTTATTATATCTAAACACCACACATTTCTGCAAATGTAGATGCCTGCTTTTGATTTTTAAAGTTAGTCTTTCCAGTATGTCTCAAAATCAATTTGCAGTAATAGTCAAGGTGGTACAGATTGTGTTCATGCACACAAACCTTGGATCTTGTGCTAAATCAGGATTAGTCTTTGCTCTGCCTGTGTTTAACCACTGCTCTGCTAACTGCTATTTTATGGATGTGGCTAAGGCTGTTTTTATCTATGCCAGGTTTATTGGTTGTGTTATACTTACAAATTTCCATAATTTAGACTGCAAATTCCATAATTGCAGCTTTAAATGAGAACATTTTTTTGCCAGAGCTTAGTTTGACTGTGGTTTACAAAAATGGGATTTTTTTGGTGGTGGTGGGGGATGATACCACTTCAGTTATGTCAGGATTTCTGTTGGTCTAGCAGAATTCTTTACTCCTTTTAACAATGCTGTGGTAGTGAAAGTTTCAGTTTTAGGCAAGTTTTCTGATTTATTTAGGTTTTTTGAGATTCTAGCTGCTACCTTGTAAAATTACCACCTGTTGTGGACTTGGAAACAGAATATGAAACTGCATTTTACTTGACTATCCTCAGTATACACTTAAAATATAAGCAAGATGGAATAACTTTATGACTCTTTTATATATAAAAAAAGAAATCTTAATATTATGCAGTAAAATCATGATTATAAGCAGTTTAGGCAATTGCTGTTGTTTTCCTACATGTAAATATTACCTCATAGTATGAAAGATATTTATGAGCTTTATTAATCAGCAACCTATGATTTGTGGTTTGTGACACTCTCAGGGGTTGACTCAGTGGCATAGGAATTTCTCTAATGCATCAGAAGCAGTTCAGGCTTGCATTTTTGCCACTAACAAGTACCAGCTTTGGTATTTTCTAGAAAGTTTTCCTCTATTAGTGATAGCCAAAAGTAAAAAAAATAGTAGAAGTGATGTCTGGATAATCCTCAACATGGCACAGAATGCATTTCAAGATGTTATTACATTTCAGGCTGAAGAGATCAGGACAAATTAAAAAGTTTGTGTCCTATGGAAAGACAAAACCCCTATACTGTAGTAATGTTTAAATTCAAAAAAGGAAAACATGTAAAAAAGGGAAAGCTTCTTTAAAAAAAGCAGCCAACAGGGTAAAATGATTAAAGACCCTACATTAGAGGCTCAGAGTAACAGTGTACCACAT